ATTTTTTAGATATCGTAAGACTATTAATAATGATGGAGAAAATAGTAAAGTGAAAGGTAGTGAATAATGATGTATGCTTTATATGTAAGACTTCCTGGGACATAGTGCTCAAAATTGGAAGTTCACAATATTAAAAATCATACCCTAACAAAGGAGAAAAGACCACTTGAATAAGCTCAAAAGTCTTTACGTATAAAGATAACATGATCAAACTGCACAATTAAAGAAATCCTCTTCATTCAAATTATTTGCAAGACTAATTTGTGTAGTTCTATATCTTCACATTCTATTAACATCTTCATGTTTTTTATACTTTATACAGAGAAATTCCTAAGCTTATCCTTTCTACTAAACAACACAAGCCAATAGTCAATGTGACATATTGACAACTCTAACCACATCAATTCTGAAAGACTCTTGGCTGCTAATTAGTGAAATAGACCCAAAATATCCGAGGAGAGAGACAGGCACGATTATATGGAATCAGGGTCTATGCTGTCGTGATGAAGTCTGTGTGACTTCAACAACTTAGAAAACTTCTCTGAGCAACTGCTTCATCATTTTTCTGTGAGGACAAACATAGCACCTACCAATTATGCATGTAAGTACATACAATATTGCTTTGTACCTGAAAAGTCTAACTAAATGATATCTGTCATTAATGTTCTTGAATGCTTTACTATAAGGTTGGATTGGAAAAAAGTCATCATAATCGCTCTCATTTTAACATGAATATTGACGTATTTCCAGGGTCTATAGAATACAATACCTGTAAATCATGTAGTCCATTTGTGGGAGAGAATAAATTTATATCTATGAAGAATATCCATTTTACTAAATAACAGTGAGAGTAAAATTGACCTGTAAAGAAATCTATTTTATGGATTTTACTGTGGAAGAAGACACATGCAGAGTTGAAGTATCTTTGGAAGCCACCTATGGGAGCTTGCTTGCTTGCCTATTTGCTTGCTTGTCCTTTTTCTTTTTCTTTTTTTTTTTTTTTTGTACTAGTCATGGGGCTTGAACTCAGGGCCTGGCCAGTGTCCCTTGGGCTTTAGGCTCAAGGCTGGCACTCTATCATTTGGGCCATAGCTCCATTCTGGCCTTTTTGGAAACTAATTGGACATAAGAGTTGGGGAGGTGGGAAGGGAAGGGATGGTAGGTGAAAAACAAAGGAGGGGTAACAATGCTCAACAGGAAATGTACTCATTACCCTACTCATGCAACTGTAACCCCTCCATACAGTATCTTTACAATAAAAAATATATATTAAAAAGTCCATGTAAACTTTCAGAACATAATAGACATAGAGTCCCTCATGATTTACCACACTGTAATAGTAAATTTTATAATTCTGATATGTTTAAAGGAATTACAGTGCTTCGGTACCATACTATGAAAACTACAATACTCCATAAAATAAAGTAATAAACCCATTTAAGTATTTGTTTTAATATGTCATATTTATAATATTATAATAATATATGATGATATTTAATATCTAATATATTTATTTAGTATATAATATTCTCAATCACATATTTATCATGGGTCAATCATATATGTTTTTATATATGTTAATGTAATATAGTTTATACTTATTATAGACATATATGCTATGTGATAAATATTATATTATATATCTCATGGATCACTCATTATTTGTGAAAGATGAACACCAGCAAAATGTCATGAAAAAAATATATTTGTATGTTCTAATTAATTTCTGTGTTTTGCTAGCTTTATTGGCTTAGTTCAGGTGCACATAATGACAGTTGGAGATATTTAATCCATTGGTTGTATTTCAGTATGGCATATGAATTTTGACCTGTTATCCATTGTCATTTCCCATGAGCTCACATCTTGGGTCTTGTTCTGGTCTGGAAATGTACACTGTTTTCACTCAGGGCGGCTCAGCCTCTTAGGAAGCTGTGTGCTCACAGAACTTAGGATAGGATGAGAGGATCGACAGATGGCTCCAACTGTCCACGGTATTTCCACTCAGGTTTTCCTCATTTGTCTTTCAGAGAAAAATGTCCTTAGTGAACAGTTTTAAATATCAACATTTATGGTAAAGACAGCTGAAGATTCTCATGCATTGGAAAACTTCCTTCATGGAAAACACTTATATTTTTGTGACTAAAACTGACAATTAGTGGAAATTAATCTAGCCAAGTGCATTACTTGGTAGAACTAATAAACAGAAACTTTCAATATTAAAATTAGTGACATAGATTTTCTAAAGCATGAATAAAGTCTTTAGTATGGCAGCATTTTAATGGATACCTGCTAAGATCATTAACAAACAACACAATGATTGGTATTCAGTTAATTGCTAAAATTGATGTTGGATGTTTCTCACAAGTAAAGGAAATGTGTCAATGCTTTAGTCATTCAAATAACCTCTTCCTAAGTAAGTTCTCTTCCATCCTAACTATAAACATATCATCTCTATAACCCATTCCAAATAATAAAAACCTCTATACAAACCCATCTATAAAAAATAATACATACCAAAAACATGCTGTTTCTGGATAAGCAACCAACTGAGAGCTACTCACACCCACATAAAATCTTGTTTTTTAAAAACAAAAAATCTTGATGTTTTTTAAAAACGAACTGTCATTTCAACAGGTAAATAACTCTTCCCTTTATTGTGTGCAGGCTAGGAATTTTATATCATAGTTATTATTAATGAGAGATGCAGTAAGTTCATTATAGATTTGTTTATTCAATACTTGGAACGAAATCAAATGGATTAGTCTCTTGAGGGTAAATTTCTTTCTTTGAACAATCCCTTGAGAGAAAATACTTGGCTCCTACCAAGAGAGGGTAGCTAACTGAAAAAGTCATATGAGAAACACGTAATGTAGTAATAAAAAGTCTCCACTACCTTTATTAATCATGTATTTCACATAATGAAATGGATAAGGAAGGAAATATTTGATCCAGCCTAAAAATATTTAATCCAGCCCTAATCCCCTTACCTAATTATACCCACTCTACCCACTGTGTGTACCACACTTCCTAGGATGCTTTGAGGCTCAGTGGCACAGTGCCTTTCATTTGAATGAAACATGAAAATACTTCAGTATAAAAGAATCCAGACAGCTTTAGTGTGGCCTTGTTTGTGTTCTGTTGGATAAATGACCAGAAGTGGGATTGCTGGGTCATAGGGAAGCTCTATGTTTAGTATTTTGAGGAGGCTCCATACTGCTTACCAGAATGGTTGAATAAGTTTATATTCCCACCAACAGTATAGTAGCATTGCCTTTTGGCCACATCCCCACCAGCATCTGTTATTGTTAGTTTTCTCGACAATGGCCATTCTAACTGGGGTGGGGTGGAATCTCAATGTTGTTTTGATTTGCATTTCTTTTATGGCCAGAGACGTTGAATATTTCTTCATGTATCTATTCTTACTTCTCCTGAGAAGTTTCTTTTTATGTCTTTAGCCAATTTACTAACTGGGTTGTTATTTCCTTGAGGAATTATTTTGGGAGGATTACTTATTTGAGCTCTAAGTATATTTTAAATATGAAGCCCTTGTCTGATTCACATCTGGTAAAAAAAAAAAAAAAATCTCCCATTGTGTGGGCTTTCTATTTATCTTGGTGGCTATACCCTTTGCCATACAGAAACTTCAGTTTTAAACAATCCCACTTATCCAGTCTTTCTTTGACTTGTGATTCTGGAATTTTACATAGGAAGTTTGAACCATACCAAAGAGCCTTAATGTTACCTCTACTCATTTCTGCAATATTTTCGTGATATTTGGCCTTAAATTTAGGTCTCTGATCAGTTTTGAATTGATTCTGGTGCAAGATGAAATGTGTATGGATCTAGCTTCAGTTCATTACAGCATTGTTTATCATAGCCAAGATATGGAATCAACCCAGATGACCCAAGCAAGAAAATGTAGTTCATATACACAATGGAATTAAATCTATCTCTCAGAAAGAAGAGTATGATGCCATTCATAAGGAAACTTATAAGGAGGGGCACAGAAATGGAGGGACAAATGGTGAACAAATACAGCAGTGCTACTCACTAGATACTATGTTAAAAAGGAACTATCCAACTTGAAGGTAGGGACAAGTAGAAAAAACTGGAGAGTGGGAGGGAAGGAGTGATATTGTCCAAAAGGAATGTACTTTATATCTGACTTATGTAACTATAAACCTACTCTACATAACTTTAAAATAACAGGAAAAATAAATTAAAATAAATTTCAAATGTCACATAATGAAAATTAAATGACAAGAAAAAGCAGCAAACAATAAATAAATAAATAGACTCCTGTGTTATACTAAACACATACATTGTTTGGAACATAATAAAATTGGGAATTCGAAACAGTTGGGAAAAATAATTATACACCTATAAAATGGTCCAACTAGGACTAGAGGCATGGCTCTAGAGCACCAGCCAAGAGCAAACAAGCCTAGCAGGAATTTGAAGCCCTGAGTTCAAACCACATAGGCACAGAGGGAATGCATCTCTAATCTTACCTAAGGAGGATGAGATCAGAGGATCATGGTTTCAAGCCAGCTTGGAAAGAAATGTGTATGTGTGTGCATATGTCCCAGGCCCGGGGTTTGAACCCGTGCCTGGGTGCTGTCCCTGAGCTTTTCTTCTAAAGGCTAGCACTCTACTATTTGACTCACAGATCCATTGCTAGGTTTTTGCTGGCTAATTGGAGATAAGAATCTCATGGACTTTCCTTCTCAGGCTATTTTCAAGCCAAGCTCCTCAGATCTCAGCCCCTTAGTAGGTAGGAATACAGCATGAGGCACTGGTTCCCTAGTTTTGATTCAATTTTAATTAGTTAAAGGTAGGGGAAATACAAAGGAGGAGACAACAATGCTTGATAAGAAATGTATTCATTATCTTGTTCATGTAACTGTAACCCATCCTCTGTACAGTATTCTCACAATAAAACACTTGTTAGATAAAAAATTAATAAAATATTTTTAAATTTAGATATATTGAGGACTGTCCTAAGTATAGGTTTTCCAATTTTGAAATAATTTAATAAGGTTGCATGAATGCAGTAGGATTTTTTGACAGACCAAACAGAAGGAGAAAAAAAAAGAAAAAATAACTCTAAGTATAATCATTGATATATTTAATAGTTTTTATCTATTGTTCATTGACTCACAGATGCATTTTCTTTTTGTATGTTGATAGTATATCATAGAAAAGAAAGTGTAACTAGAACACAACACACCCTTCATATTTTATAATTACCTAGAACAATGAAGATAATGAATTGTTTTTCTTTCAAGTCTTTAATTTCAACAAATTGAAAGAATTCAGCAACTTCCAAGATTAGGAGCAATATTTACAAGAATAATTTGAAAAAATATTTTTTTGCTAAACAGAAAAATCCTCACTTGCTAGATTTATTATTGGAAGATGAAATAGCATTCTTGCATTAAAACTTTTTACTTGTAACAAATATAAAACAAGTATGGACAAAAGTTAAACTGTAGGTCTGTCCTTTGCTTCACTTGTGTCCAAGTTTCCTCTGATGACTCTCATTTTCATTCTTTTTAATTGACAGAGTATTCTAATACTCAGTCTTTACTTTTTCTTCCCTTTAGATTCTTGTCCCATAAGTGATTTTTACCTAATCCAGTAGCTTTGGTTATCAGTTAATGGATGGATGAATCTAGAACCGATTTTCACAGCCAACTGGAGAAGAGATATATGCCCAACAGAAAATAATTGTTCCCATGGTGACTCACTTATGAACTCCTTCAAGTTAATCTTAAAGACCTCCTTTGCTACATTTTCAGCTCTGAGTTTCGCAGCATGTAGATTAAGAGGTTGAGGCTGTATAAACATACTCGTGATTGATCGTTCAGTGGGGAAAATCTGCAAATGTTTGTTGATTGCTACACTCAAAGGTGACATCTGTTCCAGCCCACACAACCAAGATACAGGTTGGGATGACTGTTTTTTAGTCATACATTTTTATAGGGAAAGACCACAATCATCCCCAGGATGCTAAGAATAATCAGCACTCCATGTTTTCTAATTTTATCCAATACTGTAATAGCATAAGTAAACATATGTCATAGAGCATAGAACTTACTACAAAATGTTGATTTTTTTGATTATGTGATCATTTATCCAGAAAATTCAAAAGGATTAGCTATAAATCTCTCCTATAAAATAAAAGAGTTAGAGGGAAGTCATTTCATGTAAAACTTTTTTGAATAACACACAGATATTTGGAAAACATAATGCAGAAAGCAGATATTTTATTAACTTAGCCCAAACAACAAACCTAAGCACAAATAAAAATGTTAAAGATCTATACAATGGAAAAAAGAAGAAAATGAAATACTGAAACAATAAACAAATTTGAACAAAGATGTTTCATGATTTCCAATATGATAATTTAATTTGTTCAAATAAAATTATACATTTAATATACTGGTAGTCAAAAACCTTTAAGATTTAGAGGCTTCTGAATTTTTTGTGAAAAAACAACCTTCCTAGATTGACAAAGCCTTCTAAAATTATTCCAAATAGGAAAATATTATTTTTTGAGAATAGTGAATGGGAAGCATTTCATTACAAATCAATATAATATTGAATTAGATATAATCACCTCAAAGAGAAATACAATCATAAAATTAAATGCATGTTCTACAAAATTAAGAAAATTAAAAGAAAGAATGAGGTTGGCAGGGATAGGGAAGAATGAACAAAACTCATTGTATTTATATACTACTTTTATGGCAACTCTTTTGTAAACTACTTAAAGATAAAAATAAAAATTAAAGAAATGGAAAACAAGATAGCTAATTGATAAAACTAAGATAGTTTAGAAAGGAATACACAAATATTTGAATGTAAAAAAATGAACATAGCCTATCAGATGAAAAATATTTCTAATGTCTTAAATACAGAAAATTATTATTACAGTAACAAAAATATCTCTATTTAAAATGGCTTAAAACCTAGAATGTAACGTTCTCAACATAAAAGAATCTTAAATGATGTAATGGCTATGTAATTACCTCATTTTTTATTTGAAATGAGAAATTCCAACTTAACTAAATGATAGTGTAAAAACATAACCAATAGCCTAGTACCAATGGCTCACTCTCTCATCCTAACTACTCAGGAAGCTGAAGTCTGAGGATGGAGGTTCAAAGCCTGTTAGGACAGGAAAGTTTCTGATACTCTTACCTACAATTAATTACCCAAAAGGCTATAAGTATAGTGGCGGTTTAAGTGATAGAGCACTAGACATGAGCAAAAAAGCTCAGCGAAAAGGCCTGGGTCCTAGCTTCCCTCCACAGCATGGAGACACAAATAAAGACAAAGAACCAAAGAAACTGAGAGGTCTTTGGGGTCCATCTAATCAATATATTAGAATTAGTACCATGTTCAGCATGGTTTTCTTTTTTTTGTGTGAAAATACTGTACAGAGGGATTACAATTACATGGTCAAGATAATGAGTACATTTCTTATCAAGCATTGTAGCCTCCTCCTTTGTTTCCCTTTCCCATCCCTTCCCATCCCCCCCCCCCCCCCCCCCCCCGCCCCCTACCTCCAATCCTCCCGTTTCCCCCCCACCAAAGTTGTAAAGTTCCTTTTGGACATAATGACTTGTACATTTCATTGTTGCAATGGGTCCACCTGTATCCCTATTTAAACGATTTGTTTTTCCCCTTTCCCTCCACAAATTATACTGACATCAAATACAGTGAAAGCAGGGGTTATACTGTGGGGGAGGAACATACAAAGCAACAAAGAAATAATCTTATAAATGCATTAGAAACAATCACATGAAAGAAAAAAAAACACTTGAATACATATCTTAGGGTTCATTTCCCTAACATCACCTTATCTGAACTTTTCGGCTTGACTCAGACATCTACTAGATATTGCAAATAAGGGAAACCATGGGACCTATGTTTCTTTGGGCCTGGCTTACTTCACTTAATATAATTTTTTCCAAGCCTTTCCATTTCCTAACAAATGGGGCAACGTCATTCTTTCTGATGGAGGCATAGAATTCCATTGTGTATATATACCACATTTTCGTGATCCATTCATCTACTGAGGGGCATCTGGGTGGATTCCATATCTTAGCTATAGTAAATAGTTCAGCATGGTTTTCTAACTCTTGTTGATACTATGCCCCAAAGTTTTCCCATGGAAGTTTTCATCTCTGTATTTCTCAAGGTATAGATCAAAGGATTCAGCATGGGGGTGACAATGGTATAGAAAACAGTCAAGGATTTGTCAATGGGGAAGTTGGAAACCGGTCGAACATACATGAAGATACAGGGAACAAAAAACAGGACAACCACCGTGATGTGGGAGCTGCAGGTGGACAGGGCTTTGCGCCTCCCCTCCTGACTGTGAGTCTTGAGATTGTTCAGGATGATGCCATAGGAGATGAGGAGGAGAATGAAGACCACCATACAGATGGCGCCACCATTGGCAACCACAGTGAGGCCTACGACATAGGTGTCGGTGCACGCAAGTTCCAACAGTGGGTACATGTCACAGATGAAGTGGTCGATGACATTAGGGCCACAAAAGGGGAGGCTGTACACAAAACCAATTTGAACAATCGAGTGTCCAAAACCTCCAGCCCAGGCCACCAGCAACAGGAGGATGCAAACTCTACGATTCATGATGGTCAAATAGTGCAGTGGCTTACAGATGGCCACATAGCGATCATAGGCCATCACCACCAGAAGGAACACCTCAGCACCTCCAAATAAGTGTGCAACGAACAGTTGGACCATGCAAGCTTGAAAGGAAATCGTCTTTACCTCACAGAGGAAGTCTGAAATCATCTTGGGTGAGATGGCCGTGGAATACACAGCATCCATGAGTGACAGGTACGCAAGGAAGAAGTACATCGGGGAGCCCAAGGAGGGGCTGGCAGTAATGGTCACCACTATAAGTAAGTTGCCAGCCATTGTCACAATGTAGATGAGTAAAAACAGGATGAATAGTACTTTTTGCACATCAGGATCCTGAATGAGGCCCAGGAGGACAAATTCTGTGACATTGTTCCTCCCTGTCATCATTACTCTTCTTGGCTTTAGAGATGACAACACAGGACAGGAGAGCTTGGCAGGAAATCGAGGACAGGACTAGGAACTGTCCAGCAGGAGGGTAGCACCACTGTGTCTACTACATACAGATGTGACCATGATCTCCTGTATCATGGAACACAACATCTTTACATCTTCCAAGTAGTAAATGCACAGAAAATGCTTAGTTTTCTACTGGGTTCCTCTTCCAAGAAGCACAACAACCCTTTTTTAGGGACAATTCTATTTTTTTCTTGGATTGCCTAGTTTGCTTACGGGTATGGGATTTTTTCTCAAAATGAGTAGGTTCCTAAAGAGAAGAGTAGAAAAAGGTTTATTGGTCATTTATATATTTAAAACTATTTATATAAAAGAAGCTACCACTTGATCTTTGCAAATACACAAGGAGAATTTTTTTCTTCTTTTTTTATGAAACCATCACACAGGAGTGCCAGTAATTTTGAAATATATGACCAATATCAATTCAGTCCTTCATCTTAGTATATTTGTGGGAAGAAACTTTACAACATGATCAGTGTAGCACCAAATTTCACATCTGTACTAGAACACCCATTTAGTGCTATAAATTGCTCTATTAGTGGTTTGTCTTTCAATTTTCAAGGTATATCCAGTATTTTGGTAGTACTGGTGTTTGAACGCACAGCCTCATGACTTCTAGGAAAGTTCTCTATCAATTGAGCCACAGCTCCAACCCTTATATCCAGTATTAATAAGAGTAATTAAATTTCATGAAATTTGACTCTAAACTATATCAAATAATTCCAGAATTAATTACACTCATAGCTATAACCACTACTAAATATGAGCTATACCTCTGTCCATTTTCACTAGCCTACACCAATTTTATTTACATTCCTTGTCCAGATTCTTAGCAATATTTTTAACTAACCCATTTTAGCAAATATTTAAAACTAACTCCTTTCTCTCACCAGCTATTACATCAGGAGCTAAGTTTTTATTTATAAGCTTCACTAGATCCTGGGCAAGTTCAAATAGAAGTTCAGTGAGGAGATTCAAAAAATCCAGTATATTAAAGGAAAAACTTGTCCTCCTGGGTCTCAAAAAGTATTATTCACCCTGTTTTTACATCTTGTGTGTGTGCATGTGCACACACACCAGAATTAGAAAGCCTGAGTCTCAGCCATTTGTAAGTATAATTACAAATTAGTCTCAATGTGCATATTATAAAATATATGGTTATAACAGATGAATTCAGAATCCACTAAACATCCAACTACCTACAGCATTAGAAGAAGAATTCTTTTTCTACCTCTTTTTATTTTGATTTGTTTTTATATGTGCCTATTCAAATAGCAATTCCCAAGTGCACTATTGATTCCTGGAATAAATGTTATCAATAATAAATGGTATGTAATATTTGATGTAACCCAGGAATGACTGTCAGGGTGTGGACCAGTGTTGAGCAATATGGACTCTGGAACCTCATGGCTTATGCTGTGATCCAAGGTTCATTCATTTACTATCAGTGTGACCTTGGACAACATAACCCCCCCCCCCCCGGTACCATGCTTCTTCCTTTTTGCATGTGTACATTCATAGTATTCACATCTCCTTGAGTTATTATTCTGCTGTTAAGATACAGAGTTAAAAAGGACTGCCCAGTGAACTCTATTTAAATGGTATGTGGTACTAATATTTTTGACAGCTTTGCCTCTTGATGGGAATCTGCCTTGCTCTCGTAACCCAATGCTGCCTTTCTGGCCCACTGCCCCCCCACGCCTCTGGGGCTTTATAAATGTCCACATTGCCTGTGGGAGACCATCTTCAGTAGCTGCCCGAACCCTCCTGCTTGCACTCCATGTATCCCCGACTCCGTCTGGTGTTACCTCTTGCCCCTATACAGAAATGATTAAATCCAGATCTCATCTCTTTAAGTCTCTTCTTTCTCTCACCTTGTCTGCTTGATCTTTACTACCATATGCCTGACATCTCTATTCACAATTATCATGATGACTTGTCAATGCAATGAGAACTATAGAGGAGTCTTAGGCATTGCCTGGTATGAAAAGAAAGTGTATCAGTAAGTCATGAACACATTCTTAGACACAGAATAAAATTTTATGTTGTACATTTTACGTATATCAGCAATATAGCCATGCATTCTTGTGAAGAAATGTATTTTGACTGAAAGCAACAAAGAAAATTCCTTTGTAGGGACTCTAGGGTCAAGGATATGTGCATAAAATAAAATATTGAATCAATTCACTTATTTACATATATGATATATAATATATTACAAATTATATGTATAATGACTAATTCATGATATATACATATATACATATATGTATTTATATTTGTCAAAGATAAAATAAACACCAATAAAGTATCATGAAAAAAATGAATATATTTGTATGTTCTAATTAATTTCTGTTTTGCTAGCTTTATTGGCTTAATTCAGGTGCATTAAATGACAATTTGTGATACTTAATACATTGGTTGCATTTCAGTATAGCATAGAAATTTTCACCTGGTATCCATTGTCATTTCCCGTGAGCTCACATATTGGGTCTTGTCCTGGTCTGGAAATGAACACTGCTTTCATTTAGGACAGCTCAGCATCTTAGGGAGCTGTGTACTCACAGAACTAGGATAGTGTGAGGCTGTTGAGAGGATCGACAAATAGCTCCAACTGTCCACTGTTCCTGCATCTCCACGTGGGTTTCCTGATCTGTCTCTAAGAGAAAAATGTCCTAAGTGGATGCCTCAGATATAAAAGCTTTTAAATTTTAACGTTCACTGTGCAGACAGCTGATTATTCTTACCCTTTGGAAAATATTCTTCTTGGAAAACACTTACATTTTCATGACTAAAAACTGACAGTTCATAGAAGGTAACCTAGCCAATTGCATTATTTGATGGCTCCACACAGACACAGAATTCTATATGAAACTCGGTTACATGAGTTTCTTAGTCGATTGTGCTAACGCCACAAAAAGTTCTTTAGTTTGCCAACATTTAAATCGATACCTATTGAGATCATTAACAAACAAGACAAAGGCACTCAGTTAATTGTAAAAACTGATATTGGATGTGTCTCACAAGAGAAGCAAACTTTTCAATCCTTTAGTCATTCAAATGACATCTTCTCAAGTAAGGTCTCTTCTTTCCTAAAAAAATATATATGCCAAGATCTCCATAATCCCATTCCAAAATATAAAAAAAGCCATTGATAAGAAAAAGATGCATACACAGAAATGGAGGGTCAAAGGGTAAACAAATGCATCAGCAGTACTCAATAGACACTATGTTGCAAATGAACTATACAACTTGCCAAAAAGAAATGTACTCTTTATCTATCTTATGTAACTGTAACCCCTCAGTATATCACCTTTAAAAATAACAAAAATGATTTTTAAAAAGAAATTATGCATACAAAAAGAAAACATGACACTTCTAGGCACTAAGAACAAAACACCAGCTGAGAGCTACTCAAGCCTGGGTAAAACCTGAGTTTTTTCTAACAGGAAAATACCTCTTCCCTAAAATTTATACATGCAGGTAACGAGTTTTACATCATTGCCTTTATTAATGAGAGATTCAGTAAGGTCATTATAGATTTGTTCATTACAATATTTGGAACAAAATCAAATGAATTCATCTCTCTGGGGTAAATTTCTTCTTTTGAACAATTCCTAGAGAGAACATACTAAGCTAGAAAATACAGAGAGTAGCTAACTGACAAAAATCATATTAAAAAAAAAACCCTGTAAGGTTATAACAAAAAGTCTCCACTGCCTTATTAATAATGTATGGCTTCCACATTATGAAATAGATAAGGAAGGAAATATTGGATACAGCCTGAAAATATTTAATTCAGCCCCAGTCCCCTTACCCAATCACACCCAACCTAACCACTAGGAGAAAGGTATGGCCCAAGAAGCTCAGAGGCACAGTGCCTTCATTTGAATGAAACAGGAAAACACTTCAGTATAAAAGAAGGCTGAGTTAGATCCAAACACATGCATTGTCTTGGAACATAATAAATTGGGATTTCAAAGCAGTTGGGAAAAAATAATTATACACCCATAAAACATTTAACTAGAAGCATGGCTCAAATAGTAGAGCAATAGCCATGAGCAAGCAACCAATCAGGAATTTGAGGCCCTGCTTTTAAGCCACAGCTATGGCAGAGAAATAAAGATTTAGCCAGATCATGGTTTGAAGCAAACTTGGGCAAAAAATTCTGCAAGATGCCTTCTAGAGATGGATCAAAAATCCAGGCTGAAGGGATGATTCAAGAGATAGAGAGCCAACATAAAGCAAGCAAGCCATGTGAGAATGAAAGGTACCTTATTCAAGCCTCAGAATCGGTAAAAAGAAAAAAAAGTCTAACTAAAAACTTATTAAAATTCTGCCCCTAGCTAAACATTTTTAAAAATATAAAATCACAAACCGTGATTTTAAAATGTATGCAGAGAGAGGGGGTACCAAGGTGGCGACAGGGCAGTAGGGAAACGCCACAGCTCTCTCCAACCAAAAAGAGAGTTCGAGTTCCAACGCTTAATCTCCCCAAGAGACCGACAACAACAAAAAGACGAACACTCAGAGAAAAACCAGAGGTGGAAAATAATAAAAAAAGAAAGATAGGAAAAGAAGAATTTCAGAACAGAGAAGAGCGAAGACCCCTCCCCCAACCTTTACTGGCCGCGCGGCAGTGCGCCAAGCCGCCGGCCAGCCGGCCCGGCGGAGGCTGCCGGAGCCACAGAGACACAGGGGGCTGCTTGCAGATCACCAGGTACCGGTTTGCAGAACTGCGTATCGCCAGGAACAAAGAAACCTACCAGCCGGGAGTCTCCACGAGGATCCCACCCCCACCCCTCACTTTCGACCGGAGTAGAGAAGCTCCATCCCGCCAAAGCCGCCCGGCACCAGCAGCGCGACAAAGGGACCTGTTGGCAGACCACCCGCCGGATCGCGATTGCAACGACCCGGATCAAACCAGTTCA